CCTTCCTCTTGCTATCTGGAGACCTTGTCAGGCATTCCATGTCACTAGCCATGGTCTCAGTGGACAATTTCAATCCACCTCCCTGTAGAAAAGCAACAGGTACCCCCTCATCTCTCTGAGATGAGCCAACCCGAACCAGAGACTTTTCATCTCCTGTCGGCTTTCCCCCAACATTCAGTTTAAAAACTGCTCTGCCACCTTTTTGATTTTAAGCGCCAGCAGCCTGGTTTCTTCTCGGGACAAGTGGAGACCATCTCGTCTGTACAGCTCCCTCTTGTTCCAAAAAACATCCCAGTGCCTAACAAACTTGAACCCTTCCCCCCTACACCATCGTCTCATCCACGCATTGAGACTCCTGATCTGTGCCTGTCTCTCCAGCCTTGCGTGTGGAACAGTTAGCACTTCTGAGAAGACTACCTTGGAGGTCCTGGACCTAAGTTTCCTGCCCAGCAGCCTAAATTTCTTCTCCAGGACCTCATGACTGCATTTCCCCACATAGTTGGTGCTGACACAGCACGACCACTGGCTCCTCCCCAGCACTATCCACCAGCCTATTTAATACTACCAAGAGCCCCCCTTCCACCCTGCCCAGGGATGGTTCCTTGGTGCAAAAAGATACCCGCTCACGAGCTGGGGAAGAGGTCCCTTATGAGGGCACATTCCCTTATCCTCAGCACGGTGCCCTGTTTCTCCTTGCCCCTCATGTTCCCTGACAGTGGAGGGGCTGCCAGATCCAGAGTGGGACATATCTAACAAGTCCCCGAGTCTTTTCTGTGCACCTAACTGACTGTCTCTGCTTCTCCAGGTCAGCCACCTTGGCCTCAAGAGAGCAAACCCATTCCCTGAGAACCAGGAGCTTCTCAAGGAGCACACCCCCAAGACTTCTGTCCAGTGGGCAGATAGGCATACATGTGACACTCCGTGCAAAACACTGGATAGCCCCCAACCCCCTGCTGGCATTCTGGCTTCATAATTCTTTTAACATAAGTAAATATAATCCCCTTTTTAAAACCCTTTATATTTATGTGGTATTCCTTGTCCAAGTCAAGTTTTTCTGTGTGTGTGTGTGGGGGGGGGGCACAAACAAACTTCAGACTAGATCAATTAACCAGAAAAACAACTTAGAAACCAAAATATACCTCCGCAACAATCAGCCTCTCTTCTTCCCACATAGTGGTTACTACAGGCAACCACAGAAAATCAGCTTGTGAAACGCTTCTTTATAGTTTCCATGCAGCCACCTCAGCGCCTGCACGCCTTTAACGAATTAAGATCTAAGAGCTACCTTTACACACACAAACACCGCAAAACATAAAAGCAACCCCAAAAACTTCAACTCCCAGAAAACAATGTAGTACAGGGAAGGCTGAAGGTGGGCCGTAAGCGTAAGCTTTCGCCACACTGCCAAAGCAGTAGGGAAGACTACATCTCCCAGTATACTATGCGATCGAATGCTTTTCTCGCTCAGAAGGCCAGTTCCAGAAGACTTGCGGATAGACTTCTTGTCCCAGCAGGCTTTGCGGCCATACGCTACCGGTTTCCGGAGGCAGAACCGAGTTTCTTTCTGTGCCGTTGGGGGAAGCTGAGGAGGTGGCGAGGCTAGACGGGGCCTGGCCTGGCGGTGCCGTGGCTGGAGAGCGCTTAGTTGAGTTCCTGGAGGGGGGAGATTGGGGCAGCACTAGGGGCTTAGACCGAGAGAGAATCTCTCGGCGCCTCCGCCGCCACCACGGCCACGATGCTCAATATGTGGAAGGTCCGGGAGCTGGTGGATAAGGCGTGAGTATTACGTGGTGGGGGGGCGTTGGGGGCATCTGGGTGCCTGTCTGGATCCTCCTTGTCCTCTCTCTCGCCGAACTCTTACTACAGTCTTCCTACCCTGCCTCATGCCTGATCGTTTCCCCGCGTCCAGCCCCCCAAATACTTCCCCCTCCATTATTCTCCTGCACTCCGCTGTAACTGCCGACTTAGCCACATTTTGTGATTCTTTCTTTTACTGCATCTGGTCACCTTACCACGAAATCCTCGTTCTTTCTCCCCCTGGCGTAGACAAGGTTGGTAGCCTTTTCTCGCGCAGCCTCCTAGTTCCTCTTCCCCCTATTACAGGCTGTGATCCTGGTTGAAACTTCTTATGTTTCACCTGCTGTAACTGAGACGTACGGCATTCTCTTGCCCTGATGATTCTTTTCTTATGGGGCTTTTGCCTCTGGCTTAGTAAACTCCCTCCCTCTCTCAACAATATAGTGACTGCTCTTTGATACTACTTCAAGGCTTTTGACTCCCGTGTAACTTGTGTGTGCGTGCAATTATCTCTTTCTTGGTAGCCGCCTCCTGTTGACTTGTAACTTTCCCCCAACTCTCACTCTTCTCTGCCTAATTTAATTTTGCTGTTCTCTTCCTCCTCGCTTGCCCAAGTATGTATACACAGCCCTTGGTTGTAAATTATAGGTTGACTGTGATCTTGCTGAGTTGGCACCACCTCATGGCTCCTCTCTACATGTTTGCCTTTCTGCAGTAAGTGATCTTGATGGGAAATCCTAGGATACATTGCAGTACACCTCAGGCCTCTACAGCCAAGGCTGCCCTATCATTACAGGGCTAAGCCTTTGGTGGAGTGCAGAAGAGGAACTTTGTGCAGGAAGTAAAGCAACTTAATACCTTGGGAGGCGAACCTCTATGTCATAGCTAGGATTCTGAGCCAATAGCAGCCCTGTAGATAAGCTTTTCTGTCAGTAACAACTCATACAGGGAAAAAGAATGTGGGATGGGCCAACATTATCTTGCACTGCCCTTGCTTCTGGAGAAGCAGAAATCTTCCTTACCTGAAACCACAGCTCTTTTGAAATGTCAGACTTGTTTTTCACAGCATAATATTTTCCTGTGATTCTCAAGAACATTAACTTCCTGTGGTATGAGTTTGCCATCACTTCTAGAAATGGCAAAACCCCGAAACATTGACTCCCTACAACCAGCCCCTTGCATTATCAAGGGCATTCTCCTCTCTGACTTGCTGTAAAGTAAGAAGTACAGCAGACATTTAAAAGTCTTTATGGAAGAGGCTTTTTTGCTGTTGAGCAAGGCTGTTATCTTTTGCATATGATGGCTTGACTTTGGAAGGGAAAAAAACTAACTATGCTCATAATACAGTGATGCAAGTTAAGTACCATCTTCAGGCTATAACGCTGGCTGGTGACATTCACTCAACTAAAAGCCACTAAAGGGTCAAGACTTAAAGAGGCCATCCTTTGTTTTGATGCATTGGCATTCCACAGTGTTTTAATAATTGAACAAAGTTTGAGTCCAGTGGCACCTTTAGGATCAACAAAGTTTTATTCAAAGTATGAACTTTGAAGTTTTCTTAAATTATTATTTCAGGCAATTGTGCTGGAGCAAGAAATACAGTAAAACCTGGTTTTGTAGTCCTGAGCAGTAACTTTTGTTCATTATCAGGGCTTTTCATTAAGACTGAAGGCAGAAGTTAGTGGGAAACTGTGGAACCAAATATTATTAAGTATTAGCAATGGAAGTGGGGTAGTACAAGCACGCCAGGGTTCACAGCTTCCTTTTTGAAAATTTGTCTTTTAATTAGAAGACTAGAACATTTCTAATTGGAAAAAGTATACTTCAGTGATAAGTCTTGCTTGAACACAAGTCATAACGTGTTCTTTTAGTGAGTTGTGTACACCAATTCAGAAATATTTTATAAATCAAAATAAGGTGCTATTGTTTGTCATCAATACCAAACCTCCAACAACAAACATGCCAAAACATGTTGTCAGATGATATGACATTGAGATCTGTCTTACATGTCAGAAGAATGAATTACAATGATTATTACACAATTTGCGACAGCTAGAATGGCACTGGTATATACAGGACACCCTGTAGGAATAATATACATAATATGCACTTTCTTTCTGTGAAAAATGAGCTCAGTTGAAAGTGTATGAACACAAAGTTGCATTCACATGCATATGTCTTGGTTTGAAAAAGCTTACATATTTCTAGACCTACACTGACCTGCACAGTGTGTGTGTGTAAACATACACACACTATTTGCTCATATTATATATACACACACACACACACACACATTACTAGATCGTTACATAAATTTAAGGAAGTTATGAGGTTGAAAAAATATTGATTGAAATTTGAGCTTGATAAAACCAGGGAAATGTTTTATTAAAAAGTGTATGTATTCTTTGCAAAGAATTTTTTAGTGTCTAAAAGAATACTAAGCTAGCATATAAAGCTAACTTGCTTTGAGATGACTCTACCAGTGGTTATTTAAAATTATTTGTGTGTAATAGTTCCCAGCAAATGCAAATTATTTTGCAACTTCGTTTTGCTTTCTTATTTGTCCGGAGCTTGGTCAGCATCTTGTTGTGTTCAACATTGTATGTACTTAACAGTTCTTATCCCAACTAACTCTCAGGCCCTGGCAATTACTTAAAGTGCTTCTCAGTAGCAGCTGCCACTAAAAGCATGGATCAGATCATCCTAGGTTGGCATTGTTTGCTCTAGATGTAGTTTAGTAAATAGTGGATGCATCCTTTGGTATTTTGGGTACTTTGGTACTTATTTTGCCCTAACCTGGATGGCTTGGTTTAGCCTGATCTCATCAGATCTCAGAAGCTAAGCAGGGTCGTCTCTAGTTAGTGTTTGGATGGAAGACCACCAGGGCAGTCCAGGGTAGCTTCGCAGAGGTAGGCAGTGGCAAACCGCTGCTGTTTGTGCCTTGCCTTGAAAACCCTATGGTGTTGCTATAAATTGGCTCTGACTTGATAACACTTTCCACCACCACCACTTTATTTTACAGTGGTAGGTGTATAAAATATTATTTCTAGTAAACTTTATATTTGGGAAATAATATTTTCACAGGTTTTTAATATGGCAATTTAATCTGTAATTTCTGTACTGTACAGAGTAAAGAAGGCAAATGCTCTGTGGGTGCAACCCATTTGATAGTAACGTGGCAGTGAGTTTCATTAAACTCAGTAAGACTTACTTCGGAGTCCTTGTAGATCAAAGTGGGCAGCCGTGTTGGTCTGAAGCAATAGAACAAACTTAGAGTCTAGTAGCACCTTTAAGACCAACAAAGTTTAATTCGAAGTGTGTGCTTAAGTGTGCGTGCACACAAAAGCTCACACCTTGAATAAAACTTTGTTGGTCTTAAAGGTGCCATTGGACTCTAACTTTATTCTGAGTACTTGTGTTCAGGATCAGGTGGTACAATTGCACTGTAAACTGAATTTTTAAAAAATCCACTTTTGTATGTTGTAACTTTTACAGGGTGGTATAAAGTAATTTGGGGCTCCAGTCTACCAGCTTATATAGCTTTGTTGCTATACAGGGACAAAAGGATTTTACATCTTTCGTTTCATCCCTGCTGTTTCTAATGGAAGGGATTTCATAGAGTGGAGTTTAGAAATAATTCATCATGTAAAAGTGCCAAATACCACAAGAGCTATGCAGGAATTGCTTGAGTGTGTGGATTTAGAATGAGGTACTGTCTGTCTTATGAGATGCAACTACCACTTGCAGCCCTGTGATTTGGATGTACTTGTCTTTTTGGGCTAAATTACCACCTATGAAGTTAATTTTAAACTTCAGCATTAGAACAAATATAACCTTTGATTTCATGAGCTTAGAGCTGTTCTTAAATAGGTGACATTTCAAAGCTGTAATTCAGAGTAAAATATTTTTCTCCTTCAGTGGGGGGAAGTCATCCAGGAACTGGTTAGGTCACGCCTCTGCTCACTCGATAGGCTATGCAAATTTCTTTTGTTGCGTGGCTCCTATTGGAGTGGCCTAGGCTGACCTCTCCAGTTTCTGCATAGCCCTGCGCTCGGTAGGACGTCTGGAGCTCCTGCTCCAAGCCAGAGGAACTAATTTAAAACTTACAATTTAATTTAAAACTTACAAGAGTTAAAAGTTAGATAGCAGTAGAGCGGGGAGGTCTACGTCTGAAGACCTACCCTTCCCTCCCAGGCTCCAAGGAAGCTGGAGAACCCTGAAGATGCCAGACGGGAGGAAGAAGACTCGGCCCCACCTCCCGAGGTTCCGGGAGGAGAGGGAATGGCCTCAACGGAGACCTTCGTACAGGCCCATTGCCCCTGAGGTTCCGGGAGGCGGGCAACAGACAGATCAGCGTCTGGGAGTCGCGCCGCTGCTCTGAACAGAGGAAAGGGGCTTCACCAGCATGGGACCGGCTGAACGCACTGAGCCGGCCGGTTCCTGCGCCCACCCCCCACGCACGTGGCCCAAGATGGCGGCGCGGAGGCTGCAGCCAGCGCCGGGGGCATTTATTTCTATCCAGAGAGCTTTAGTCCCATTGATATCTTAAGTAAAGCTATCCTAGCTTATCAAGAAATACCCATGTGTTGCATACTATGAAGAAGGTTGACTCACGTGGCATCTCTGTTCTAAATTGTTTGTTGTACAGATGCCCTGGTAAATTCTTGTGATACCACATTAGTATGTCTATTGGCTTGCTGCCTCTCCAATTCAGTAGATTTTTGTTGTGTTTAGTATTTTGTAATGTTTGTATGTAGAATTTCTGGGTTTTGAGCAAGATATCCAGTTGCCTTGTTTTTCCCTTTTCATTTATTGATTTGATATCCTTTGTGCAAACGGACTTTAAGAAATTAAAAAGAAATCCAACCTGTTAACCTATTCATTCTTTAAAATGAACTTCCATGGTTCATTTCACAGAAATATATATTTTTTTGCTTCACTGCCTTTGGTAAGTTCCCACTCAATTATATTTCAGCTGC